AGGGGGTGTTAAAATGCCTGTGGAACTAAAAAGGGAGTTTCTCCCAGTGTCCTGGCCAACAATCCACCAAATAAAATGGGTCAATACTCTCTGGAATTGTGTTGATTGGATGCATATCTCCAGGGAGCGAGTGTGCATTCTTTTCCAATACATGTAGGTGCGATGCACGGATCTTTCAGTTTCGTTTGGGTACTCTTAAAATTCGTGATGGGCTTCCACGTGTCACACACCCAGCTGACCAAACAAATTACCGTGGCAGGAAGAACTATCAGCATTAAAACTCATTCTATGTTTCCGGGATCACAAGACGACGGACTGGGGTAACTGTCATGCTTTTATCAAATATGACCAACAGCTCTGAATGACGAGCGCTTTGATGTGGCAGTGCTGCAAGCTAGCTTGAGCCTTTAGTTCTGCTGGACTACTTTGAAATAATCATAATTATATGTCAAGGTTGAATAATTGAGCAGCAAGAATGTTAGGTTATCTATCTTCAGTGTAGTCTTTCTAAATTTTGAAAGAAGTTCAACTTCCTTGTACAAAGTTCCTGCCTAATCTAGCTCGTAATTCACTCTCTGACTTGCTTTTGCTTAGAGCTGTGGGACTTAGTTTTTGTGTCTTATATTTTCTCCTGTGTTACTTGAAGTCTAGATTCCCTTTTCCAGTCAAAGGAGATAATGGTGTTTTTCAGAACCAGTCTTTACGTACTACAGAATAGGAGAAATCACCTGACCAAAATAGCAATTCATGGCCAGAAATTTATAAGAGAAATTGTTTCATTCCCCCCCACCACTTAAAGGTGATCTAAATCTAAATTGTACGTGCATGTTAAGCTTCAAAGAGTGAGGACGGCCACACCTACACAGGAAATTAGCAATTGCTGTTTTTTTCTGCTATGTATCTCTGACCTTTGATAGGAATATTCTTCCAAACTGTTGTTTCTTTTGCAATGGTAACTACTGTACGTAGATGGGATTCCAATCACTGTTCCCAGATATGGTGTTTGGATAGCATGATAATACAGTGGAAAAGAAGAACGCTGAACATTTTCAGAAAATGTCGTATTTTTTCTTTTACCAGCACCGAAACCTTGTGCGAATAAAACAAATTGCCGCGGCTGTTTGTTCCAAAATACTAACCATTGAAGAGCTTCCTGTGGCATGCTTTTGAGATGATTTCTGCAAACATTAAAGAGAATAGGGAAATGTTAGGGACTAAATTCTTTTACAGAACTGGCAAAGGCACGATGGTCTCCTTCTGTGCTGTAATTTTCTATATTCTAAACATGAAAGCGCAAAGATAAGAACAGTAAATAATTTCTTGTGTTTGTTAAAGAGTCTCCACACTGTCATTGTTCTTTAAATCATAGCTAAATAACTGAAGTATTATTATGTAGTGTACTCTTTAGTCTGCCTCTGAAGGCCCATCAAACAGGAGAATTGAAGCTTTCTTTTCTGCTTTGCTTAAACTGATATACTTGAGGTAATATAGATGTTGCAGTTTTAAATGTAGCAATCATATTTTAAAGATAGATTAAAAGACTTAGCTTGTTTCTGTTAACAATTTTGTTTTACATGTTTGGTCTGTATTCGTGCACAACCAAGAACCAACTTGGTGTTTTCAGTGCGTGCGACACAATACAGGCATTCAAAGCTCACAAACTGCTGCTGCCACTAATGAAATGTTTCTGCTGTGAAACAGAAGCTAAGTGGTGTTTCAATAGTGTGACACCCGCTGCTCAAACATCACTAATGGATTCCATTAAAACGCAAATATAAATCATTGAACTCGAACAGGAGGAAATCACTAAGTTGCTTACTCCAAAATCAAGTACAGGAATGGGTGCAGTTGGCAGTACCATATGTTTCAGCCGTACCATTGTTTAGGGATCATATATTTGTATTCTGCTTCTTGCATTTTACAGATAAATTTTACTGAGTTAAAAACTGCAAAGGTCAGGTCAACTTTATGTACTCATTTGTATACAGCTTGCATTTAATCTTGTTAATTGACATGGGAACAATATTTTTTTAATGATTTTTCGTACTCTGATCAATAATGTAAAACAAATGTTCAGTGGAGAGAACTTTTTATTGGCAAAATGCCATTTTATAAAACACTGTAGGGAAGCAAATTCTTTAAGAGCCTACTTATGGTCAGACTAACGCAACACAGATTCACGATAAAGGGACAGCCCCTATTTCTGTAAATTATGCATCTCTCTTATTCTGAATTGGAGTTATTTACAACTAACTTGCTTGAATTATTTAAAACAGTTTGGTTAGAACAAAAAGATGTTGAAATCTGTTACCTAACCTTGAACTGGGGGACTCTTTATGAAGTGACAATCTCTTTCACACCATACAGTTTATCTGAAGCTTCAATCTAAACGTTCAGAAAGAATTTGATGCATTTACGAAAGTGAGCAAATTTTTCACTTAGATATGAATCGTTAAATTAATATTTTAATCACCATTGGTTACAGAAATATCTCAAATTGAAAATAGACCAATTAAATTGAACTTAAAGGACATGCTGCCTATATTGTGGTGGAAGTTGTAGAAAAAGGGCTGGCAAATGTATTGTTGCTTTTGCACTAAATTTACAAAAATTACAAAAGTTCTACAGTGTCTAAAAATGAGTAATCCCATTGACAAAGGTTATTTAGCGTTCAGCCTACATTTCTTTTTAAAGATACAATAGGTTTGCACCTCTGCTTATATATACTAAAGCTAAAGAAATACTTCCTTAATTATAGTGCATCTCTTTTCCATTTAAACAATGATTGTTAAGCTTGACAAACTGAGATTGAATATTATAATAATATTATTATTATTATTGAATATTCTCAGCCTGACTGACTAATGTTTAGCTTGCTGTCAGTTTATAATGCTGCCTTGCCATTGGCAGCAAGATCGCAAGCAGAAAGACTCAGTCTTGTTGAAGGTCCCATGGGCTGGACTCATTTTGGCATGCCTCCACCATCTTCACCAGCTGATGCTACTGTCCTGTGGCAACACAACAGGAAATGTGATATCATTACTTAGAAAGGAGAAAGAAAGAACTTACATTTTTAAAGCATTATATTATATCAAAGTCAGGTGCAGTGACTGTTTCCTGTGTAGCTAAATGCAATGATAGCACACTTACATAGACGTCATGAGGGAAATACAGTGGAACATTTAACCAACTGGCTCCCTACCAAAATAACAGTAGCAGAAGTCGGAAAAAGAGTTGTGAGTAAAGTGGCTAGACATTCAGAAGCAGATTTAGACTTCCCCTATCATCTTAGTGAGCGGTTCATTGATTTTAAGGCTCACATAATAATAATAATAATAATAATAATAATAATCCTTGCATTTGATATAGCGCTTTTCACGTCGGGAGGACATCCCAAAGCGCTTCACAGAACACACTGTAAAGTGAATTGACTGTATATTTGTGGGCGAACGCGGCAGCCAATTGCGCACAGCAATGTCCCACAAACAGTCGTAGATTGAAAATGACCAATTTTTTATTTTTTGGTTTTTTGGAGGGATTATTATTAGGCGTGTGGAGTAAGGAAACTTGCCCAAGGTTTCGCCCTGACCTGCCTGGAATTGAACTCAGGTCTCTCGCTTGCAAGGCGAGTGCTCTAACCACTGAGCTACAGGACTCCACATCCTAAAGCTTTAAGTAAAAGTTGTGTGAATACCCCTGTCAGAGTCTCCACTCTTTATGGTAATAATCCTTGCATGGTACTGCCTTAGAAGCAAAAACAATTGGAATGTTTAAATGGGAGATGATAGATACAGTACTTGGGAAGCAAGGGTATTAAGGGATATGAAGATAATATGCTGAAATTGGATTAAAAGATCTGCAGTGACCTAATAAAATGGTGAAACAGGCGTGATGGGCTGAATGCCATACTTTTTATATGTTACTTAGCCTGGCATTAAAAAGAATTTACTGCTATTGTAGTAGGTGATATTTTAATTTACCCCATTACTGTATTATGGAAGTGCATGGAATGACATGTGGAAACACTTTGAAGATATCTCCAAGTCAACTCCCTCCCTCACCATGGGTACATGCATGAAGGAGGAAGGGGGAGAAATACAAAAACAAATGACTGAAGTCAACATAACACAGTTCTGGACGAAATCAATCAGCCCGATTATTTTAATGATGATATTTCAGGAATCTATTACCTGCAAAGGAAACTGACTCATGAAACTTAATTTCAGCTGATGTTTCACTAAAGATATTAAGTAATGTAAAACGATTTATCATTGGAAAAGTGAGCGTAACAATAATGATGACACAGAATCTTAAATAGACAAATCATCCCAAGTGTATTTGTTTACATGGGTTTGTGAATGACTAAATGACTGTTAAACAGGGAATGCAAATTCAGAAGAGCAATGTTCATATACATTGTATGTTTTTGATCATATTCAATCCCCTTGTGGACCTCAGTTATGTACTGTTGTGCACTATATTATTTTATCCTTAATCTTACTACCATTTATAAAATAGACTGGAAGCAGAACAAGGCTGTACTGATTGGCTTCCTTCTGTGCTGAGCATTGGGGGTGAGTTTGTATGACCTCTACCCACCAAAAGACTTCAGGTTTGAATCCCAGTTAGCTGATCTCAGCTAGGACGCTACAAATAGGCCTCAGCGTTTCTCAGTCAGGGATCAGAAAACCACTAACTATAGAACCCTGCTACAAATGTATGTGCACTGACATTCATTGAGAAATTGTTGATGTCCCCTGCAGTTGAACAGACACTCGGTACCAAGGTTGAAACATAAATAATAGCCATTTGTACGAAAGGAGTTCCACACCCATGGAATTGAAGCTCAGTAGCAGGAAAAATAAATCATCTGCCTTCAGAAGGGAAAACTCGATGAAGAAAAAGTTTCAGGATATAAATAAATAATTCTTGAGGGGGCCGGGGGGGAGAAGACTGTTATACTGTGCTTAGCTTGACATTGTTTTTGTGTTTTTTTGCAGCTAATGCCATGTATTTAGGAAGCCAAGAAATGGTGCAGGTTGTCTGCAGAGATGATTCAACCATACAGCAGCATTTGGATCAGGTATTTTATTTCCAGACTTGTTATTAAAATGCGAAAGAGAGGCGCTCTGAGATCATTGTTACAGCCTCACACAGAGTGAGGAAACATTCATATTGACTAATTCAAGTGCCTCTATCAATTGGCATAGGCTTCCACTGGGCTGGAGGAATAATTTGCAATAATGAGCAATTTGGAATAACAATGTTCCACTGTATTAAACAATTTATTAATGCTTTAACAGCTCAGATTATTTATAGAGCTATGTAACCACTGCACAAAACCACATTACGATTACAGTCTGTAGACCTTCTGAAGGACATTTTATATTGCACTTGTGTCATAATTTGCCTGTGAAATTGTTTAATCTAAAACTGAAGACTTTTAAATTAAAGCCTGTTAGGTTTTAAGAAATGAACACGATTAGATAGAAAGAATATCATTTAACATAACAGGTCAAAATACATCTGTTATTGGTTTATTAACCATGAGGAATGTAGTAAACAAAGTATGATTAATGGATCACAGGTTTTTTATAATAGTTGCAAACCTAAACTAAATACAGGTCTATTTCAAACTTTCTGTAAAAACATAAAAGCACATTCCCTTCTGACAACCTCCAGTCCCCTACTACCACATTTAACACAAGAGTGTGAGCTGCGATTGATTGTAGAACTATTATTTTACAGAAACTATAGAAAGTTTACAACACTGAAGGAGGTCATTCAGCCCATCATGTCTGTGCCAATGACTAATCCCCTACTAAACCATTCTACTTTAATTCCATTCCTCTGCTCCTTCCCTAAACCCTTTAATATTTGGATTATTTTACCCAAATGCCTTTTTATGCTGTTATGCACTCAGCTTCAACTGCCATTTGTGGTAACGTTTTCCAAATTCTAATAACCTTTTTTATATAAAAAAAATCCTTTACTCCACCATTGGTGGTCGTGCCTTCAGCCACTACACTCAGAACCTCTGGAACTGCTTACGTCAATCCTTCTACCTTTCCCCTCTTTGCCCATCTTCAGATTGCGCCTAAAGATTTTCCTCTTTGACCGCTACGGTTACCTCCCTCTACCCGGCTCGGGGTCAAACTATGCCATTGTTCAGTGCTACAAGATGCTACCCCACGTGAAGGATGCTATATAAATGCAAGTTGTTGCTTGTTGTTGTTTTTCTTCTAGTGATAATGCTGAATTTATGCCCTCTAATTACTAACTTGCTGATCAGTGGAAATATATTTAACATATCAAAACTATTAATAATTTTGAAAAATCTCCTTCTCCGATCCAGTGAAAACATTGACAACACCCCAAATAAATATAACCTTCCATCTCTGCTATCGTCCTAGCAAGTCTTTGTTGTACCCTGTCCATGGTTGTGATGTCATTTCCATACTGAAGTGCCTAAAGTTAGATGCAATACTCCAGCTGTGACACATCTAATGTCATGTTCAAATTTAGCACTACCTCCTTACTCTTGTATTCATTGTTGATGTATATAAAATCTAGAAACGTATTTGCTTTTTTAATGATCTTGGCTACAGTTTTTTACATTTAAAAATTTATATAGCGATACTCTTCGGTCTCTCTACTCCTCCACACCCTTAAGAACATCACCTTGTAGGGTTTAAGTCCTTGATCTTTTTTTTCCTGCCGTAAAGTCCTACTACAAACTTTAACTGGGTTGTGTATGTGATTGTGTGCGCCTGCGTTGTGTGTGTGTAAGTGTGTACCCCTGCGTGTGTATCTACGTGTGCGCAGGTGTATCTGCGTGCGTGTATCTATCTTTAAGGGTATGTAGCATGCATATCACACACGACTGTTTGTGGGACACTGCTGTGCACCCATGAATATTCACCCATGAATATACAGTCAATTCACTTTACGGTATATTCTGTGAAGCGCTTGAGACGTCTAGAAGACGTGAAAAGCGCAATATCAAATATCAAATAATAATATGAATTATTATTATTATTATTATCCTCTATTGGTATTGAATTCCATTTGTTACTTATCTGCCTATCTGCATCTACCTGGATTGTCTTCTGCATTTCTCTTCAATTTTGTGTCATCTAACGCTTTAGACACATTTGCACACTTTACTAAATCCAGATCATTTTTATATCTACATATATAGATGGAAAGAGAAAGAGGGAAAATAAGAGGATCTCTCTTAGACCTGTCCAGTACGTCAATGATTACACAACACAAGTTCCAAAAAAATCCGCTTGCTGCTACTTCCTTCTTCCCTTCAACCATCTCTCTAGGCTCTCACATTCCCTTAATAAAAGTTGTCTTCATTTTGCAACACATCTCTCATATGGCACTTTATCAAATATCCGAATCCCTGACAAATATCCAAAGCACCTTGGGACGGCCTCCCGACATGAAGGGCACTACACAAATGTAATTTGTTGTTAACTTCTAGAAATTCATATAAAACACTTCCATTACGAGTCTATAAGTTTGCAGGGCTATGGGGAGAGAGCAGGGGAATGGGATTGATTTGGATATCTCTTTTCAAAGAGCCGGTACAGACATGATTGGCCGACTGGCCTCCTTCTGTGCTGTATAATTCTATGATTCTATATGTTCTCTTCATCGGTATGTTCTATTATTTCTTCAGAAAAGTCTATTGAATTAATCAACAACAACTTATATTTATATAGCATCCGTCACGTAGAATAACGTCTTGTGAGCTTTACAAGGTTGGGATCGGATACCAAGCAAAGGAGAGAGGGATGGGGTGAAGGGAGGAGGAGGCCAAAGGCAGTGCCAAGAGATAGGTTTTGAGATAGGCCTTATTAAGTCAGAGAGAAAGGGGGTGAGACGCAAGGGTAGAGGAATGCAGTTTCATAGGTTAAGAGCGTAGGAACTAAAGACCCAGCCACTGATGGTAGCATGGAGAGGACAGCAGCACATAGCATGCCCGAGTTAGCCAATGGAGCGGGCAAGCAGAGGAGTGGGTAGGTGTAATCAAATGTGGTCTGTCTTTTATAAATCCATACTAGTTGTTCCTGATTAACCCATGACTTTTTTGGTGTTTGTTGACTTGATCCCTTATTATGGACTCTACAACAACAACAACAACAAATTACATTTGTATGTTGCCTTTCATGACAGGAGGACATCCCAAGGCGCTGGACAGTTAGGGTTCCGCACGCGAGCATGTGGTTGGGATCAAGAGGGGTGGAGGGGGAGGTTAGGGATAGGAGGGAGACCAAAGGCACGATCGAAGAGGAGGATCTTGAGATGGGTCTTGAAGAAGGCAAGGTGGGGTGTTGCGAAGCGGAGGAACTGTGGGATGGAATTCCAGAGAGACTGAAGGCCCGCCAGCCACAGGAATTTACATAGAACTAATGTCAATCTAACTTTCTTATAATTTCCCGGTTTGTTCCTCTTTTCCTCCAGGAACAAGGATGTTACATTAGACAGGAAACAGTATAATACTCGGTTGGAAAATAACTTCCCCACTTTCCCCCAACTTTCTTCGGGATTCTGGGATACATAATATAATAATAACAATCCTTGCATTTGATATAGCGTCCTGTCACGTCGTTGAGATATCTCAAAGCATTTCACTGAATATATTGCAACGTGAATTACTGTGTGTTTTGTGGGTGAAATGCAGCAGCCAATTGATACAATTACATAGGGGCCCCAATTAACATTACATACATTACATTTCCATTTAGAGTTCCATTAACTTTTTCCATGGTTTCCTTTTTGAATAATTATAACCATAAATTGCTCAATATTCTCCTATGGTGACCATGTAATGTTGCTTTAACAATTTTCCATGAAAACAGAACAAAAATCATTGTTAGGCAAATGTGTTAGTTCTACATTTCTAAGTGGGCCAACCTTTCCTTGTTTATCCTCTCATTTTAACATGCTTGTAAACTGTTTTACAATTACTCTTTACCTTAGCCTCCAGTCCTTTTTTTTTCAATAGTTGAAGGCAAGTTTGCATTAACTTCTTGGAAACTTTCTAAGTTAATTGCATCTTGGGTTTTTCATTATCATCGTTATTGATCAGTTTATTTGTATGTCCTTAAATTAAAGGCAAAAGACTGATATAGTTAACAGTTGTGATAAAGTCTTCAATAATTATGGTGAGTTTGTTTCTCCCTTGCTGTTGTTCAAGCTGCAACTTTTTATTTCCATGGAACCTCCAGCAGATAGGAAACCAGGTAGATGTACTACAGTTATGTAGCTTCCAATGTCTGTGCTGCTCTGTAACCAAACTTGCAGGAGGTGTTTCCACTCAAGGACTTGATAGATGGAAGTGTTAGTTTTCAAATCCAACAACAACAACATGAATTTATATAGCAGTGTTCACTTGGGTAGCGTCTAACAGTTGCAGTCTTAACCATGCTTAACAATGGCAGAGCTTGACACCAAGCCAGAGAGGCACCATAGTCCAGGTCAGACACCCACATTGCAGCTAGCTAAGGATATGAATTGGCATCAATGGCCAAGCCAACTTACATGTCATCTATTCCGGGCCTTCTACCTGGAATGAAAACTCCATGCCAGTGTAAAATGTTTTCTGTTTATCTTTAGCTTATAAATCAAAATATTCCCTTTACTACAGCACTTTCCACACACAAAACATTCAAGGTTGGTCTGACAGAACAGTCAAGTACCTTATATGTCTTCCAAACCACACACTACCTACTTATGTCTTTAAAACGTTTCACACAAGCAACCAGGTAAACCTGTGGATTTGGTATAACCTTTCCTATGAATTTGATTTTGTTGAAATGTTCCAATTGCCGTATTATTAGACTTGAAAGGTTTATTTTCAGAGTTAATTGGGACCCCTTGAAAGTGCTCCTACTCATACCTAAAATGAGACCATTTACAATACAGGCTAAAACTGTGGGTATGACCCTTCTGGGATCGAGCACATTTGGAATATATTTTACCTAGAATGTTATAATTATTCTGTCGATTTATGGCTTAAAATCTAAAAGCCACTCACCAGTGCTGACCAAATGTGAACTCAGTAACAGT